TCTTCATAGCTCAAGGTCTTTGTGGTCGCTCCACTTGCTCTCCCACGTGGCCCTTTGAAAAGGCTAAGGGTCGATTCATTTTCGTCCTCGTTGTACCGAGAGGGTGGATTATGCACGCTAGGAAGGTTCTCATTATAGTATGTTGTTGTGAAGTTTGACACCTCCTCATGAATGAATGCCTCAGCAATGGAAGCCTTAATCCTGCCTTTGTTTCCACATTTCTTGCGAATAGTCTTTAGACATCTCTCGATTGGATAGCACCAACGGTTCTGCACGGGCCCCCCCATTCGTGCCTTGGACGGGAGGTGTCAAATCAAATGCTGCATCGACAAGAAAAAGCCAGGTGGAAAGATCTTCTCCAACTTATAGAGCAACAGAGGTGCCACTTTTTCCAACTCCTCAACCACTTTCACAGATACCTCCTTGGCACAAAGCTGGCGAAACAAAAAGCTCAACTCTACCAGCACCTTTCAGACATTCTCAGGGACGTAGCCTCGAACCATCGACAGAAGAAGCCGCTCAATCCATATGTGGTAGTCATGACTCTTCATCCCTAAGACTCGGCCAGTCTCTGGGTTCGCTCCCCTCCTCAGATTCGCTACATACCCATCCGGGAACTTTAACGTCTGCATCCATTGTATCACTTCCGTTCTGTGCTTCTTTTCTAAGACGTAATCGGCCTTAGGCCTTTTCCATGGCTTGCCATCTCTTGAAGGCAGCATCTCTAGCTTTGGTCTATCGCATAGCGTTGCCAGGTCCACTCTGGCCTTAGGGTTGTCCTTTGTCTTGTCAGGAATGTCCATGAGTGTTGCCCAAAGTGCTTCGGTGACATTCTTCTCAGTGTGCATTACATCTATATTATGTGGAAGGAGAAGGTCATCAAAATAGGGAAGCCTCTCCAAGCCCGACTTATGAGTCCACATATGTTTGACACCATATCCCACAAAGCAATCTTTCTTTGGATTATCTTTCTTTCGACTATCTTTCTGTGGATTGACCACGAGAGTATCTATCTGAGCATGAACCTGGGCACCAGTCATCTTCTGAGGTTCAGGGTCGGTCACCTTGACACCTTTCGTGAAGTTCTTGGTGTCTTGTCTAAATGCATTGTTAAGAGGGAGGAACTATCGATGCTTGTCAAACGATGAAAACTTGCCACCCTTCTTCAACCAAATGAACTCCAGAGTTGTCTTGCATACCGGGCATGGGAACTTCCCGTGGACACACCAGGCGCTGAATATCCCATACGCCAGGAAGTCATGCATGGAGTACTGGTACCAAACATACATTTTGAAGTTTTTCTTTGTAGCTCGGTCGTAAGTACATACCCCTTCATTCCAAGCACTGATCAATTCATCATAAACAGGCTCCATGTACACACCCATTTTATTTCTCGGGTGTCCAGGAATTATCAACGTCAAGAATATGTTTTGCCGTTGAAGGAGGACATCGGGGGGGAGATTGAGGGGGATAGCGAACACGAGCCAACAAGTGTATGGGGCCGACATCATTCCATAAGGATTGAACCCATCCGTTGCTAGCGCAACACGTACATTACGGGCCTCAAGATCTTTGTCATGATGCTTGCGATTAAAGCTTTTCCATGCTTCACCATCAGCTGGATGTACCATCTTGTCAGGATTGTATCGAATGCCATTCTTGTGCCATGTCATCTGTTTCGCGGACTCCTCGGTCATGAATAGCCGTTGGAGCCTCGGTATGATCGGAAGGTGCCGTAGGACTTTCATGGGGATCTCAAGTTGCTCCTTCTGGCCATCACCTTTGTCTACCTCCACCTAGAGGATTTACACTTTGGATAGTACTTTGCATCCTTGTGATCTTTCCTAAATAGGACACACCCCTTCGGACAACAATGTATCTGCTCATACGGCATCTTAAGTGCACGAAGGGGTCTCTGTGACTCGTAAAAGCTGCTCGGCAGAATATGACCCTCCGGAAGCAGCCCACCAATAACTGCCAACATACCATCGAAGTAGGCTCGACTCATGTTGTACTGGGACTTCAACCCCATTAGGCGTCCAATAGCATCCAGTTGAGAAACCGTTGCCTTCTCATGTAGGAGCTTCTATGCCGAAGACAACATTTGGTAGAACGCCTTTCCGGTTGGCTCTGGCTCCTCCTCCTCATCCTTCTTCTCCTCCTCCTCCTCCGTAGGTCTTTCAGCGAATGTTGCTTCGTGAAAGTCACCTAACCATCCTGCTACCCCGCCATCAGTATCAAACGCCTCCAAGCGTGGTCTCACCGCCTCCTCTCTAGTACGATGGGCTTCACCATGGAACACCCACCGGGTATAGTTTGGCGTAAATCCATACTTGCAAAGATGTTCCCCCATGATCTTCCTTGTTTTTTCCTGTTTCCGCATTCGCTACAGGGACAGAATGTGTCTCTCGCTCCATTAGCTACCTTGCCAAATGCTTGGTTCAAGAAACCCTCGGTCTTGTCCATCCATTTAGGGGTGATTTCAGCCTGACTTGGGCGGCCCGTGTACATCCACTCACGGTTATCCATCCTCTAGCATATACATGAGCGAGTAATATAACCACCAATTGCATATAAACGGCGTGCCTACTGTCTAATGGGTGAGGATAGGTCCTAATCCCACCCGCGGATGCGTAGATGAGGGTAGTTTACATGCTCTACTCTGATCTGAGACAGAATTTTGGTAGCACCTCCCCGCTGTTCTCCCGATACACGTCCTGGAAGGGAGAGTGTGTATCCGAAGAACAACAGGGAGGTGGTGCCGAAACTCTATCTCGGATCGAAGCGGAACATAGAAACTACCCCATCTACACATCCGTGGGCTGTCCAAAAAAGTGGACAATCTAAAACAGATACGGTCTTAGATATGTGAAGATCCACATACCTCCAACCGTATTTGTTTCGAACGGGAGACACCTAACTGGGTTACACCGATCTACGACAACGATAAGGAAGAGAGGTTATTTATACCTAGGGTGGCGATGGAGTTAGGCTAGCGGGGCAGTGGTGAGGCGACGCTGTGCAGGCAGGACCGTAGCACCGACGAAGACGATCGGGGTCGCCTACGTACTCCGGGTCCCCTCCGACGGGTCCTGCTCTGCAAAAGAAGAATTATAATACTATAAGTTAAAAATTTCGGCAGAACCTCCCCTGTACGGGGAGGTTTCCAAAACCTACAAGAAAAAAGCCAGCACGATGGCCGACAGCATATATACGGCATGAAGGCCCACACATTCACGTACGGCACGAAGGCCCACACATCCACATACGGCACGAAGGCCGTCAATGACATACAAGGCACGAAGGCCAACAACCGGGGGGGCTTTATACCTTGGGTGGCGGTGGAGTCGGGCGACGTGGTACCGGGGTCAGCTTCGTCTCCAGCGAGGGGCGGGGACAACGGCGGGGACGAACGGCGAGGGGCGTGGCCGGTGGCCGAGGCTCCTCCTCCTCCCTTCTCCTTCTTCCTTCTCCCTTCTCCTCTCCTCCACCTCCCTTCTCTCCTCTACTCCCCTACTCCTCCTCGTCTCCACTCCGGTGGGTGGGGGGCAGCCGAGGCAGGGCACCACCGGTGGGTCCGCGTCCGACGGCGGAGCGGGGCCGGGGCAGGGCCGACTGTGGCGGAGGTTGGGCGGCGGTGGGGGGGCCAGGGCGGGGCGGCGCACCACCGGCCGAGGAGGGCAGACCCGGGCGCGGGCCGGCCGCGGCGGAGGTCCGACGGCGGGGCGGGGCCGGGGCGTGCGGCTGTGAGAGGGAGAGTGGGATAGTGGGAGCGGGCCGGCTGGGCCGCTAGGGTTAAGTGGGGCGGCCCTTTGCCGAGTGCCGAGATGCGGGCACTCGGCAAAGAAATTCAGGGGGGGTTCTTTTAATCTGAAAGATGAAAAAAAATTCTAAATATTCTTTGCCGAGTGCTGCAAGCCTAACACTCGGCAAAGAGGTTCCTTTGCCGAGTGCCAATTCCGACACTCGGCAAAGTATTTTTATTTTTATTTATTTTTGTTTTCAAATTTTTTCTGTGGTAATTATACAGTACTCGGCAAAGGAACCTCTTTGCCGAGTGTCGGAATTGGCACTCTTTGCCGAGTGTATAAATGCCACAGAAAAATTTTGAAAACAAAAATAAAAAAAAATAAAAATACTTTGTCGAGCGTCGAAATTGGCACTCGGCAAAGGAACCTCTTTGCCGAGTGCCAGGCCAGACACTCGACAAAGACAGCACGTTTGCCGAGTGCTAACGACCAGCACTCGGCAAAGGATGACGGAGGGGCCACCGGCGTCGCCTGAGGTATTTTGTCGAGTGCCTGACACTCGACAAAGAGGACGTTTGCCGAGTGTCCCTCTTTGCCGAGTGTTTGGCACTCGGCAAAGACGACATTTGCCGAGTGCCGGCTTTGCCGAGTGCGGCATTCGGTAAACTACTTCTTTGCTGAGTGCCCGTGTTTCGACACTCGGCAAAGCGCCGAGCACTCGGCAAAGAGCGCGTCTCCCGTAGTGTTTCTATGTGAAGCTGAGCTGTTTTGCAAAAATTATTTGGCAAAATAGCTTTACCAACAGCTTCATGCATGGATGGGAGAGATAAATAAGAGAAAGAGTTAGGATAAGCTACTTTTTTCAGCTTCATCCCAACTCATGTCTTTGTGAGAGGGAGAGAAAAATAACTTCATAGGTGAAGCTGTTTTGGAAATGAGTGTTTGACAAATAAAACAACTCACAATAGCTCGTGAAGCTATTGTGAGCTATGTCAAACAGGCCCATAGAGTTTCCACAGCTTGTTCCCATTTCAAATTATAATCCTCCTGTGTTTGAGTCTGAGCTCGATTCAGCGACTTGTCTCTTTGCTAGGCGTGCACGAGAGTTTGATACAGAAGTCGTGTCCTACTCGGAGTAGAACATGATGCCTATTGGGAATATACTGTGTGTCTATATATATAGAGAGAGACACACGCTGCTGAGAAGAAGAAAAAAAAAGATTAACCATTGTCCGTCTTTCTCCTTCCTGCATGTACGCCATCGAACTGCAGAATGAAGACGGGCGCAGGAAGAGGAGGAGGAGGAGCAGTCCTCCAAGCCAGAATCCTGAGCTGTCGGAGGAGATCATCGTTGAGGTGATCCTGGTGCGGCTGCCTGTCAAGTCCCTGGTGCGGTTCAAGTCTGTCTACAAGGCCTGGCGCGCCACCATCTCGGATCCCATCTTCATCCACGCGCACCTCCGCCACTCTGCAACCAAACGGGAGCAGGACCCGTGTGTGATCATCAGCCCCGTCACCCTGGACTATGCCTGTTAAGTTGATCTCCACCAAACCCTTGGATCCACGCCCAGATCGGAGGCGCTTAACCCTAATATGGTTGGTGGCCTCCCGTCGCACAGCGCAATAAATAGAAGGTGGGGGCCAGAGCGTCGAGCACGAGGTTCGCCTGAGCCGTCTAGCACCCCCACCTATAGTCCTAAACCCTAACCAATTACAGAGGGGGCGCTGCCAGCGACGGGAAGCACCGCCACCGGCCAAAGCCGTGCACTATTGCTGCTGGGCCGGTTACTGTTGCTGCAGGCCGGGCCAAAATGAACAGTAAATAAAGTTTGAAGTTTATTTAATTTTCAGAAGCAGATTTTGATGAATTTTGTCTAGTTTAATATCTCTGTTAAAATTTAAACCAACGGGATAATTTTTTAGAGAATAGTTGAGAAAAGTTCAATACTTCTGAAAAATAGATAATGAATTTTTTCATGATTCCGCTGCAATGTTAAAGTTAATAATCTTCTGATTAAATTCAAACCAACGGGAGAGTTTAATTTGAAGAATAGTCAATTTTAATCAGTAAATTATAATATTGTTATTTTTCTGACCAACATTGATAATAATAATGTTATAATGTTTAATCATAAGTTTTTCATGCATTAATTCTATTTCTGTCCAATGTGATGTAGAATTAGTGTATAAGAATATTGTATGTTTTCATTTTGACCAACGTTAAATTAAAGCATGCAATTATAATGTCATATTTTCTCACTATCTCTAACGGTGTTTTTCAGGACTCAACCCAATGGCATTCATCTCGCACATACCACCTCTAGAAGGGGGCAATTATAGAGTATGGCGAGAGAAGTATGAGCTTGCGCTTGCGCTGTCCGAAAATGACTTAGCGCTCACCTCCCCGTGTCCTACTGAGCCAGTGGACCCGGTGAGGGAAGAAAATGAGTCTGATGCTGATTTCACTGCTCGGCAGCGAGATCATGCAGAAGTGCGCATGAAGTATGATCTTGAGCGTAAGAAATAGGATATATCAAACCGCAAGTGCTTGATGGTGGCTAAGTCCACAATCTCAAATGCTATAAGGGGGTCTATCCCAGACTGTGATATCACCACTGAATACCTTAAGAAGGTAGAGAGTCAGTTCACTGGCTCTTCAAAGGCTTATGCTAGTACATTGATTAAGAAATTGTTCAATAAAAAATATACTGGTGGCGGTATCAGAGAGCACATATTGAAGATGAGTAACACGGCTTCGAAGCTGAAGCCAATGGATTTGGAGCTCAAGGATGAGTTCCTGATTCATTTGGTTTTTGCTTCCTTGCCAAAGGAATATGAAATCTTTGTTGTTAACTACAACATGCAGCCCATTAAGTGGGACATAGAGAAGCTCATCGCAATGTGTGTTCAAGAAGAGGAAAGGTTGAAGTCCTTATAGGGTGACTCTGCTAACCTTGTGAAGGACAAGAAAAAGAACTTCAATAAGAATGCAAACCTCAAGGGAAAGCCCCTCAGACTGAGCACCATCCGAAAAACAACAATATTCAAGTTGAAAAGGATCAGTGCAAATGGTGCAAGAAGCATGGACACTACTAGAAGGACTGTCTAGACTTTCTGAAGAACCTGCTGAAGAGAGGTGAGGATTTCATTACATTCATAGATAAATCCTTATATTTAAGTTATGCAAAATCTACTTGGTGGATTGATTCAGGTGCAACTGTTCATATTACAAATTCATTATAGGAATTCTGTACGAGGAGGACCCTACAAAGAGGAGAAAGAAGAATTAAAGTAGCAAAGCCGTTGGAGATCTTTCTCTAGAATTAGTTGATGGTTTTCTACTTAAGCTTTCAGATGTTCTATTTGTACCCTCTTTGCGAAGAAACTTAATAAGTGTTTCACGTTTAAATGATGATGGATATGATTGCCATTTTGGTAATGGCAAATGTTAGATTGTTTATAATAATAAATGTGTTGGCCTTGCCTTCCGACAAGACAAGCTTTATTTATTATCACTTTTCTGAGAATGTGAATGATATAAGTACTGAGAATGAGAATGCTTCCTCGCCTATGAATGCAACAAATAAGCGAAAGAGAGTGCATGATGTATCTTTGAAATCATGGCACTGTCATTTAGGCTATATTTCGAGAGGGAGAATAGAGCGATTGATTAAGAAATCAATTCTTCTGTCTTTAGAATTTTCAGATTTAGAACAGTGCATAGATTGCATAAAAGGAAAGTATGTTAAAAAAATAAAGAAAGATACCAAACGAAGTGCAGGAATTTTAGAAATAGTTCACACAGACATCTGTGGTCCTTTTTTCTGTGAAGAGTGTGGATGGTTATGATTCATTTACAACATTCACAGATGACTTCTCGTTTTGGCTATATTTATCCAATTAAAGAAATATCGGAAGCATTGGATAAATTTAAAATATTCAAGGCTGAAGTAGAGAATCAGCACAACTTAAAGATTAAGGTAGTAAGGTCCGACCGTGGGGGAAAGTGCTACGGTCGACACACCCCATATGGCCAAGTTTCTGGACCCTTTGCAAGGTTCTTACAGGAAAATGGCATAGTAGCCTAGTATTCTACACCGGGCGAGCTTCAGCAGAATGGAGTAGTTGAAAGATGCAACCATACCTTAATTAATGGATATGGTAAGAAGCATGATAAGTTATTCTACCTTACCTGATAAGTTTATGGATGGAGGCGTTAAAAACTGCCATTCATATTCTTAATCGAGTACCAAGTAAGTCGGTGCCCAAAACACCGTATGAGTTGTGGAGATGAAAGGAAGCCTCACTAAACTATTTACGTGTGTGGGGTTGTCCTGCTGAGGCAAAAGTATTTAACCCAAACATAGGGAAGCTGGACTCCAAGACAGTTAGCTGCCATTTCATTGGCTATCCAGAAAAGTTAAAAGGTTATCGTTTCTATTGTCCTGATAGACAAACGAAGTTTGTAGAAACAAGACATGCTGTCTTCTTAGAGGATGATATGATCAGGGGGAGCATGGTAGCGCGAGAAATTAGTTTTGAAGAGAAGCGGGTATACGTGCCCACTCCTATGGTTTAGGAACCATTTTCACGCTACCTGTTGTTGATGCTGTATCAACAGTGCAAGACACTATAGTAACATCACCTGTTGTTAGTTCTCATGTGGCAACAATGAATGAGCATGAGGAACCTGTCCTTCAGGATCCCTAAGAACCCGTTGTCACACATGAGAAAGAGCAACAACTTTATATAGAACAAATGTCATCTAACAAGGCCCCTAGAAGGTCTCAAAGAGTCAGGAGATCAGCCATTCCTGATGATTATGAAGTTTATGAAAGTGAGGAATTTCAAATAGAGGGTGATCCCACCTTATTTGAAGAAGCCATAAGAAGCGCTCACTCATCCAAGTGGCTTGAAGCCATGAAAGATAAAATGAAATCAATGAAAACCAACGGAGTTTGGAAATTAGAAACAATTCCTAAAGGAGCCAAGACAGTAAGATGTAAATGGGTCTACAAAACTAAACATGACTCCAAAAGGAATATAGAAAGGTTTAAAGCGCGACTTATGGCGAAAGGTTTCACGCAAAGAGAAGGCATAGATTACAATGAGACATTTTCTCCAGTCTCATGTAAGGATTCTTTTAGAATCATAATGGCGCTTGTAGCACATTATGACTTAGAATTACATCAGATAGATGTAAAGACGGTGTTTCTAAACAGGGATTTGGAGGAAAATGTTTACATGGCACAACCGAAAGGTTTTGCTGTGGAAGGAAAAGAACGTATGGGATGCCGCCTAAAGAAATCCATTTACGGATTAAAGCAAGCTTCAAGACAGTGGTATTTGAAGTTTGATAGTACAATAAGAAAGTTTAGGTTTCAAGAAAATATAGAGGACAATTGCGTTTATGCAAAGTTCAAGAATGAGAAATACATTTTTCTAGTCTTGTATGTGGATGACATCTTGCTGCGCTAGCAGTGATGTTAATCTACTATTAGAAACAAAGAAGTTCTTATCCTCAAAGTTTGATATGAAGGATCTCGGTGAAGCTTCGTTCGTCCTAGGAATAGAGATTCACCGAGATAGAGAAAAGTGGGTTTTAGAATTATCACAAAAGGCATACTTAGAAAAAGTTCTAAAGAAATACAATATGCAAAATTGTAAGTCATCACCTGCTCCCATAGTCAAGGGTGACAGATATGGGGAATTTCAATGTCCCAGGAACCAATATGAGATCGATCAAATGAAAGCGGTTCCATATAGTTCAGCTGTCAGAAGTTTACAGTATGCTCAAGTGTGTACTCGCCCTGACTTAGCATTTGTTACTGGGTTGCTTGGCAGATATTAGAGTAATCCAGGAATAGAACACTAGAAATTAGTAAAGAAAGTTTTGCATTACCTGCAAGGTACGAAGGGTCTCATGCTAACGTATAGAAGATCTTATTCCCTGCATATAGAGGGGTATACAGATTTTGATTATGCATGAGATAAAAGAAAGTCCATGTCAGGATACATATTCACTCTCGTAGGAGGAGCTATATCGTAGAAAAGCTCAAAGCAAATCATCACTACATCGTCCACAATGTATGCTGAGTTTGTAGCATGTTATGAGGCCATAGGGCAGGTGAATTGGCTAAAGAAATTCATGCCTGGGTTGAAAGTGGTAGACGACATATATAAGCCACTTAAGTTATACTGCGATAATAATCCAGTAGTATGTTATGCTCACAATAATAAGTTAAGTGGTGCTACCAAACACATTGACATAAAGTATTATGTTGTGAAAGATAAAGTCCGGGATCATATAATTAGTCTTGAGCATATAAGAACAGAAAAGATGCTTGTGGATCTACTTACAAAAGGCTTACCACCCAGTGTGTTCAGAGAACACGTAGCCGGCATGGGTTTAAGAGAAAGCCTATGATTCCTAGACAATAAGGGCCTAGTTAAGAATCAATTTCAAAACAGAGAGGTGCATTGTAGTTGTTTAATCTAATGGCAAGAGACCATAACAATGAGGCAGGCTCTATGCATTGATCTGTGATGGAATGGGAACAAGAGAAAGTAAGTAAAGTTTAAGTTATAAGTGAGATCAAGGGGGAGAATGTTAGTTGATCTCCACCAATTGGCCCAATGGCCAATTGGGCCCTTGGATCCGCCCCCTGAAAGGGAGCGCGCCAACCCTAATATGGTTGGTGGGCCCCCGTCGCACAGTGCCATAAATAGGATGTGGGGGTCAGAGCGCCAAGCACAAGGTTCGCCTGAGCCGCCTAGCACCCCACCTACAGTCCTAAACCTTAACCGATCACAGAGGGGGCGCTGCCAGCGATGGGAAGCACCGCCACCGGCCAACGCCGCCACTGCACCGCCGTCCTTCGACACAACACCGCCACCGGGACTTCACCAAGCAACGTGATGGCGAGCCCATCTTCCTCCAAGGCGGTCGATGGTTTGTAACCCCTTCACCCCTCTCTTCCTCACTCTATTTATTAATCCAGTACTAGTAGATGCTTTTAGGACTCACGGTTTATTCCAAATGCAAGTAGACATGCTAGATTTATGCCTAGAGATCCTGCTTTAACTCTATCAATGCCATCCCAGGGGAGTCCCGACCGAGCAGCTTCTCCAACCAATTCCGCTTCTACTAGTGGCATCATGTGCAAGGCAATGGCGGTGGTACTGCCTCCTTCAAATAGACAGCGACGCTCATCTACACCAAGGACCTTGGCGGCGGCGAAGCTATTAGCCAGCTGGGTTACTTGGTGTTCTGTGATGGTCTGGTGCTCGCTCGCACCGACACCAAGCTCTACCTCTTCAACCCGGCCACTAGGGACTCCCTCACGCTGCCAGACAGTAAGCGCAACAATTTGGCGTGAGAAGCCTGCAATTCTGCAGGCCTAGGCCTGGATCCACACAGTGGTAAGTACAAGGTGGTTCGAGCCTTCTACCGGTCTGTTGATATCATCGCGAATGCCTACCAGATGGGGATGGAGGTGTTCACCGTTGGCGGCAACCGTCGTGCTTGGAGGAAGACAGCACATGATCCGCCATACCCCGTCTATAGACGGCAGCCTAGCCTTAGTGTCAAAGGGTTGATGTTCTGACGCATCGACAAAGTTCGCCACAGACATCATCAGACTACGCCGCGTGGTCTCCTCCACCTCAACTTGGCAGATGAGCCATTCGGAGTCACCAGGCTACCGGACTCCATGGACCCTGCGCTGGACGATGCCTTCATAATGGGCATGCTACGCGGGGAGCTATGGCTGACGGCGCACACCAGCAAGATGTCGGATACCATGACCATCTGGGCGATGCCGGTGGATGACAACGGGGGCCAAGGCTAGTGGGAGCAGTGCTACTCCATCGTCGGGTACCCGCTGCTCTTGTGTCCCCTGGTTCTTCTTCCAACCAGTGGTGATGGCAGCAGTCGGGTCTTGTTCTGGAATCAACGGGTGCTCTACAGCTATGATCCGGCGACCTCGATGCTGATGACCCTATGTGAGATGGATCGCATGAGGTACTAGGGTCGAACAGCACGCAAGTGGAAGAATCTCTTCGAGTTCAATGTTCTCTCATTCCTCTCACTGCTTCGCTGATAGATGGCTTTATTTGGTGACGAGACCATGGCAAGCATGTAGCTTCTGTTCCTACTTTTTGTTCAAAATAAAGCACCTAGTTGATGGTTCAATGCGCGCTGTTCCATAGTATCATTGTATCGCCTTTATTAGAGTTGGATCTTATAGAATGGTGCACATTCAAACGTTGTGTTTATTTGGCTTCGTAATTTTATTATATTTTTTGAGTTTTTTTTCTAGGCTAAATCATGGTAGGCTATTCCTGACAAAACTCCATCTCATGTAATATATACTGGTGAAATTTGGAGGCAAGGGATGTCACTCTGAGCTTTGGTTATCTGTTGTCGATTATGATCCTACCTGGTGGATGCCAGTTTGGGGTATAGTCCTATGCGATTTCGTCGTCTGAATACACGAAGACCTTGTTATGTTTTCTCTTTTATGAAGCTTGATGAAGCCTACCCTACTTTTAGGCCTCTTCTGCTATTTTTATTAAATTTTTAATCTTGGAGATCGATACAAATTGATTAATCTTGCCATCAGTATGTTCAATGTGAGACATGTGGGAAGAGCACCGCCTGAAGAATAACATCAAGCGGCACCGGCAAGCCCATGACGAGGTGCCTTCTAGTCTAGTTAGATAAGATAGGAATAGTGTCTAAGTATGCGGTTTATTATCTAATCATGGTAGTGCTAGTGCAGGAGCTTTGTAGGAAACTTGTCATCTTTGTTCTAGGTGGAGGTAGTCTCTATAACACTACCAGAAACTAGAGATTTCGTGAGGGGATAGTTTTTCGTGAGAGTGGCAAACACACTCTCATGAAAATAATCGTTTCATGAGGGTGATGTAAATCCCACCACAAAAACTTATTTTCATGAGAGTGCTCCACACACTGTCATGAAAATCAGCTGTTTTTGTGAGAGTATTTGGACGGTCTTAATTTGAATAATGGAAAGTCTGATCTAAAGCATGGTGTTACTTCTGTTTGCAAAAATCTCTGGTGTACAGATGAAGAATTATGTGCTTGCCATGTAGGTCACCTTAGTTCCAATGTTTGTCATATTTGTTTGTAAGCTATTAATTATGAAGTACCGATCTTTTTTTATGATTATAGATTTCAAATACGGATGATAAAATTAGTGTACAAACTTATGCGATTTTTTATGATTATAGCTTTGAAATACAGATGATAAATTCGGCATACAAAATTATTATGCCTTGTCCTTTTCTGAAACGAAAAAAGAGTTACGGCCTGTTTGGAATAAAGGAACTGAAATCACAGGAATGGTAGGAAATAGAGGAAAGAGATAGAAATAGAGTGTAAAAACAGATAGAAATAGAGTGTAAAATCAGAGGATTGAAAAAAATACAGGAAAGGAACTCAGCGAGCTGTTTGAAACACAGGAATTTTAAATATAAGAATTTGGAAACTAAATGATAAAGAACATATTAAAAGCACCTAACCTCAGGTGAACAAGAATCTACTTTGCGCTGGCTGCTGCTTCTCTCTATTGGTTACGTGCTTTGCCTCGGACTTCGCAATAGGAAGAGAAACCAAGAGATCAGAGTGGATTTTATGATTCCTACATTTTGAGAAGGGAAGCATACCTTTCCTCAAGAAAGGGAAGTTGCAATCCTCCGTACCAAGCGGTCGGTAACATCAGCAAAACAAACGAATGCTATTCCTTTGAAATTCCTATGAGAAAACTGCAATTCAAACAGGTCTTAAGAGAATCGGAGGAATTTGACTTGCGAAGAGTTGTAATCCCTTTCATTCCTCTTAGAAAATATATAATCTTTTGTTACATTCAAGGCTCATTGCCTTGACCTGCGAATGGGAGGAATTTTTTTTGTTACATTCAAGGCTCGTTACCTTTTTACCTTTTATGGAACCAGTGAAATCACAGTCCAAGAGAGTTTAAACAATGGGAAGGGGTCAACCCAAATAAGATAGGGTACTTAACCGGTCCCTTTGCAAACCAAAGCGAGCAAGCTCATGAGCAGCCACATTACAAGAACGTGGAATTGTACAGAGATAGTAGGAGTCATCTTTCAGTGCTGCAGCTAGACATGTGGGATTCGTTTCCACAATCACCCTCGACATACCTTGGTTCAGAGCCGTTAGGACTCCTGCAAGGCAAGCTCCTCCCTCAGTACACAATGCAGCATACACCACCATTAGACGGCCTGAACCCCGCTGTAATTGCACAGCCATTGTGATCTCAAATTACAAATCCCCACGCTCATGTCTTGTACCTCTTGTCCTTCACAAGAAGAAATGCACAATCAATGTTGGTCTTCTGGATGTCCTGTGATGGAGGGCACTACCTCGGATTCTATCCCGTGCCAACATATCCTTACAAATTCAAATTATCCTCCTGTGTTTGAGTCTGAGCTCGATTCAGACATGTACAAATACAAAGCACAATTCCTCAGGGAATACATCCACTTTGAAAGCACCGAGCGCGTAAAGGAAAAGTTAGGGCTATGGGGGGGGTCTGCCACTGCTTCCGTCTTTATCTTTTTTGCTTGTCTTTGGTTCTCTTTGTTTCCTATCTCTTCTCTCTTTGAGGGTGGCAACGTGTGAGTAGGGGCTAGTGGTGAGCGGTGCACGACGTGCTAAAAGGTCTTTGTTTGGTTTTGGTAATTGAGTGACAACCTAGGTGGACTAATATGTGTTTATGAGAGATACACAGGAGATTAGTCCACAAGTGAACATGTGATGAAGAAACTCATTGCATATGAGACATGATATAGAGTCATATTACTAAGGTGGAGAAGATCGAGACAAGACTTGGCTTGACGGACCGGTTGCAAGTGTGAAGGGCAAGTTGAGTGATGACTTGGCGCCGATGGACCGAAGCAACGGTGAAGAGCAAGTAAAGTCAAGACCGATGAACCAATGCGGTCACGTGATGATATGAAGTGGATCATATCATTTGGTGATATGGTTGGTGCATACGTTGCATCAACATCGGAGATGGAATGTAATGCACAAGGCAAAGGTATAATCTAGGGCATTTTATTTCGTCAGTCATAGGTGTGTAGAGAAGTTTATGACCGGTTTTAGGGTAGATGGCCATACTATCAAGAGGGACAAACTTGTTTGCATATCGGTCATCTAGCGCTACTCGAGTGATCTAACTTTGCATCGTTGCTAGGATCGAGTGCCGTGGCAAGTCGAGTGATTAACCCTTAAAAAATGTTTGGAAAAACGCTAACACACGTGCACTATGGTGAGACACTTCGTTGTTAGTGTTTTGGAATCAAGAGTGGCATAGTTGAGATACTAGAAAAAGATAAGGAAGGAGCAGTGGACTGGATCCAGGGCATCGGACCCTGGGCAACCGGGTCCGGTTGGCCTAGCAGCAGGGTAGCGGCTTCTGAGCATCGTGGTCAGGGTCGCTGGCGTACCGAGAGCGAACATGGGTCTGGCTCTCTCCCTGTGGGTCTGACCATGGTAGCGGGGCTCTTTGTTCTCGGTGTCGAACCATTTAGCACGTGCGAGTGTTCACGGCGCAGGAAGAGCAGCAGCGGCATTAGGCTCGCACATGTCAGTGTCTCGGGTCTGCTTGGTGCTTAGCGGGTCCCTTCATTCGACGCGGCTTTGTCTTAGGTGCGAGGCGCTTCAGTTCTTAGCGGACCGACATAGGGCAAAGCGGGTCCAATGGCATGCCGTGCAGGTTCGACACAAGCGGGCCGAGCACACACAATCGTGGCTGCTCGGACTCAGGGAGCGGCGGTGCCGGTCCGCATGCTCACGGGTCCCGTTTGAGCACAGAAGAAGTGAGGCTGGCGTGGTATCGTGTGAGGGCGCTCCAAACCCAGGCCGTTGTGGCATTGGACCCAGCGGGTCGCGGTTGAATGTGTGGACACATGGCAACATCCTAGGGTCCGGACCCTCCCTATAGCGGTCCTGATCCAGGGTCCAGAGCTAGGGTCCGGACCTCCCTGAGCAACTTTTGAGTAACGACTCTTTTGACCCTTTGGGCTATAAATTGAAGGGGTACTCAGGTTTGGCTGAGGTTGAGCACCTTGGGGGACTTTGTGTCCATGCTTGAGTGTGCTTGGGAGCCCTCTAACTCACTTGTGTTTGTAAGAGTGTGATTTGATTGCGAGTGAGTGATCCTAGTGCGTTGCATTGAGAGATTGCATTGAGTGGCACTAGGTGTTCATGTTGCAAGCCAGTGGTGCTTGTTACTCTTGGAGGTTGCCACCTCCTAGATAGCTTGGTGGCAAGTTCTCCATCGTGAAGCCCGCAACAAGATTGTGTGGAGCTCTAGAGAAGGATTTGTGA